CCGTCTGCCGCCTTCCCCTGACTGCGGTTCCGAACGGCCCGGTTTTCTCTGGAGACGGGGTTTTGGCCGGTTTCAGCACGGGTGAAAGTTTGCCGGAAAATCCGTGCGAGCCTGCATCCTCCGCCATAAACTTTTGGTGCGGCAAACCAGCATTTCCCTACTTTAAAATGCCGTGGAGCGCTCTAAAACGCTAAACCAACGGGGAAGCTGCAGACTTTGGCTTCGGGAACTCACGCACACACACACACAAAAAGATGGGCTCTCCTTTCGCTACAGCGGCCTGAAAAGTTTGCCGGAAAATCCGTGCGAGCCTGCATCCTCCGCCATAAACTTTTGGTGCGGCAAACCAGCATTTCCCTACTTTAAAATGCCGTGGAGCGCTCTAAAACGCTAAACCAACGGGGAAGCTGCAGACTTTGGCTTCGGGAACTCACGCACACACACACACAAAAAGATGGGCTCTCCTTTCGCTACAGCGGCCTGATCAGTTGCCTTCACATATCGAAACGGCGTTAGCTCGTTAGGGGAGTTTTAACGGGACAAACACCAAAGCCGAATCGCGGTAGACACTTTCCTAGCGGGATTGGTCCCGGTTCCCACATCAGACGAAGGGCTGTTTGGAGCACCCGGGGAGCGGACCCTTCTCGGGAGCCGGGCGCTGCGCAGCTCCCGCCCGCCTTCCCCCCGTCTCACCCTGCTGCGGTGCGGTTGTTTTGCAGAACATGCCCCCAATGAGCCCCGAGAAGCCTGCTCTGTGCGCCGGTTGCGGAGGGAAGATCTCGGACAGATATTACCTGCTCGCTGTTGACAAACAATGGCACCTCAGGTGTCTTAAGTGCTGTGAATGTAAACTGGCCTTGGAGTCAGAGCTCACCTGCTTTGCCAAGGACGGCAGTATTTACTGCAAGGAGGATTACTACAGGTACAGCCATCACCCCCCGCGGGTTCAAAGCACACCCCCTCGCTGCGGGCCCAAACGCCCTGTTCCCCACCCGGGCGTTCGGAGGTGGCTTTTCGCGGTCAGCGACTCCCCGGCCCAGTAACCCTGTCCCTTCCCAAAAGTGGGTTAAAAGCCTTGAACCTCTTAAGCCTGACGGCTTTGAAACCCGACCGGGCCGACCCGGGGCTGCGCAGGGCC